TGTAACAACTTATTTAAGAGGCTCCTCTGTCCTCCACTCGTTACCTGTATTAATGGCACCTGTTTGAACTTGTTATCAGTATAAAAGACACCTGTCCACAACCTCAAACAGTCACACTCCAAACTCCACTATGGCCAAGACCAAAGAGCTGTCAAAGGACACCAGAAACAAAATTGTAGACCTGCACCAGGCTGGGAAGACTGAATCTGCAATAGGTAAGCAGCTTGGTTTGAAGAAATCAACTGTGGGAGCAATTATTAGGAAATGGAAGACATACAAGACCACTGATAATCTCCCTCGATCTGGGGCTCCACGCAAGATCTCACCCCGTGGGGTCAAAATAATCACAAGAACGGTGAGCAAAAATCCCAGAACCACACGGGGGTGGGCCTAGTGAATGACCTGCAGAGAGCTGGGACCAAAGTAACAAAGCCTACCATCAGTAACACACTACGCCGCCAGGGACTCAAATCCTGCAGTGCCAGACGTGTCCCCCTGCTTAAGCCAGTACATGTCCAGGCCCGTCTGAAGTTTGCCAGAGTGCATTTGGATGATCCAGAAGAGGATTGGGAGAATGTCATATGGTCAGATGAAACCAAAATAGAACTTTTTGGTAAAAACTCAACTCGTCGTGTTTGGAGGACAAAGAATGGCGAGTTGCATCCAACGAACACCATACCTACTGTGAAGCATGAGGGTGGAAACATCATGCTTTGGGGCTGTTTTTCTGCAAAGGGACCAGGACGACTGATCCGTGTAAAGGAAAGAATGAATGGGGCCATGTAATGTGAGATTTTGAGTGAAAACCTCCTTCCATCAGCAAGGGCATTGAAGATGAAATGTGGCTGGGTCTTTCAGCATGACAATGATCCCAAACACACCGCCCGGGCAACGAAGGAGTGGCTTCGTAAGAAGCATTTCAAGGTCCTGGAGTGGCCTAGCCAGTCTCCAGATCTCAACCCCATAGAAAATCTTTGGAGGGAGTTGAAAGTCCGTGTTGCCCAGCGACAGCCCCAAAACATCACCGCTCTAGAGGAGATCTGCATGGAGGAATGGGCCAAAATACCAGCAACAGTGTGTGAAAACCTTGTGAAGACTTACAGAAAACGTTTGACCTGTGTCATTGCCAACAAAGGGTATAAAACAAAGTACTGAGAAACTTTTGTTATTGACCAAATACTTATTTTCCACCATAATTTGCAAATAAATTCATTAAAAATCCTACAATGTGATTTTCTGGATAATTCTTTCTCATTTTGTCTGTCATAGTTGACGTGTACCTATGATGAAAATTACAGGCCTCTCTCATCTTTTTAAGTGGGAGAACTTGCACAATTGGTGGCTGACTAAATACTTTTCTTCCCCACTGTATATACTATCTGATAAGGTGACATATATGACGTGACTATCCCCAATCGCCCTGACTGTCTGTGACAGCCCAGACGCAGAGATGTGGATGGAGGATGCTAATACGAGGGGCTGGGTTTATGTTGGGACCCAGGCTGGGGTTCCCAGGCTGTTATTTGGTCATCCAGGGTCTGAGGAGGTCTCTGTGTGACGAAGCAAGAGATCACTTCCCCTGGCAGCTGGTTCAAATCATCCCTTCCTCCCCCACCCTGTCTAGGCCTCCTGCCCTGCGTCAGGGAGGAGCGCTCTCAGCTGGCAGCCCAACCAGAGACATGCTGCTCCCATTAAAAGGGGAAGCACAGTAATGTGACTAAACTGAAAGCTGTGGTGTGTGTGTGTGTGTGTGTGTGTATTGCAAGTTCGAGGGTCGGATCTATCTCCTTCCTACCTCCACCTCCTCATCAAGGTTTCAAAGTCATTCCATATCAACAGTCACCCACTTTGATATCAATGGAGCTGATGTTCTCAACTCACTGTAGACAGGATGACAACGCACAGTGAAGTGCTTTGAGGCCTTGTGAGAAGTGCTATGCAAATGCAATCCATATAAACGTGATTCTCATTACTGTCATTACCACCACAATGACGTCATAATCGTATGAGATGCAGAGAAACCAATAGATGATGAGGTCTGAGATGAATCATGTTGTGAGGCCGTAAAGACGAAGAGAGCAAGAAGGACAAAAGTGAAAAGAGGATAGAGAACAAGTGGACTTCCACTAGTTCTACTAGTCCTGACGACCCCTAACTACCACTAAAACACAACAACTGCTATGGAAACAATGACACTTCCCACACCCAGTGAGAGTTACGATAAAACCTCCAGGTTTGCCTCTCAGAGTTGAGAAAAGGACCATAGACAATGGGGGAGGATGGAATATCCTGTAAGATTACACATTTTCTCAGAGGTTATTTTTGTCATTTTGTATTTTAACGCCTCTAGCTAAGGGAGTTTCCTCAGGCTGGGGAGCCTATGTACTGTCTGGAAGTTCCTCAGGGTCGATTGGGTAGGGCATTAAACTTCACACTCACTTGGTGGGATCACAATCCCTTACTGGAATCATTGCAAAAACACTTGTCTTGGTTCCAACTACACTGATTCTTTCTATGGGCTGAGATGCTTCTGGACAGAGGAAAATTGGCATGGGACGTCATAATGACGTAACTTTCTGGTTGTAAATTGTTTTTCTGGTTGAAAAGACGTCAGACGTTATTACACCCAAAATACTGTACATCTTTTTTCATGATGACATCGAGACTTCTGGGAAATATGTCATATTTTGATTGTTATCAGGTCAGATAACCAGGTAAAGAAGTGTTTTTGTGGTCGCTAAAAATACATTTAAAAACCTTATTTTACAACGACTTGATCATGGATGTCACCCTGATGGTATAATTGTATTACAACCATGCTTTTGCTAGTCAAGTTGAAGGAAAGGCCTTCGTTGTTGAGATGAAAATGGACAGTCTCCCAGATACCAAGACATACGTTGGCGTGTAATGCATGCCATTTCCAAAGCATAATCCTTTCCAAACGATGACGGACACACAAAGGCAGCCAAACAGTCCATCAAATAAAGAGACCTTGGTTCTCTCATCAGGCTCATCTGTAAAAGAGACCTTGGTCTCAGCATGACTCCCTTATTAAGGTTAAATAAAAATGCGAGGCTCCAGTCCATTATTATCTGTTAGGATAATGCCTATACTGTAGAGTACTGGGAACTTCAATGGAGACTTCAAACAAAGCCAAGTTACAGGTTTACCTGATGTGATTACATAATACTACCTTTTCTCTTGTAAAATGACAGAAGAAGTCAGTTAGAGTGATATATAGCCCCCTGAGGATGAAAGCTACAGGTGTGGTTGGGGACGGCTCTAACGAAGGGCTGATTTGTGACATATATTCCGTTTTGCGATTTTGGTCACTCTAAGGTAAGGTCAATGCTCAATGATAAAATGCTGCGATCATGTGGTGCACAGGATTGTGGTCCATTTTCAAGTCAATTCATGTCAACTCAATGAAAATAAAAGTATTTTTTTCAAATTCTTGAATTGAATGGATTTGATTGAATGAATCTACAGTATATGACTGAAGCAAAATGCAATAGACCCCAACCCATGATTATGTATAAATTGTATATAGTGGACTTCACATTTTGACGTTCATCAACTTTGAGATTCTACCTTGGTTCTCCATTAACTCCATAACAAAAAAAGTCTGATTACACTCTAGTGTGTCTGGTCATGTTGGTGGTCAAAAAGCCACACACCACAACAGCATATCATGAAGTGGAACATTTAAATCCAGTTTTGATAAAATCCAGAATTCACTTCCTGCTAGGAGGCCCCTTGATGCATCATCCATTGCCCAGACAACTAAACAACCCATAGGAAAGAAATACACCCTCAGTGCCTGTTAAATGGCTGGGTTAAGCGATGAGTCATGTCTGTATATATTTAGACACACACTGGGGGTTTATAACGCCAGTAACGCTCTGCCTCTCCTCAGATCAACGCTCTGCCTCTCCAGGAATGGCCGGCAGGGATGTAGCTCAGTTGGTAGAGCATGGCGTTTGCAACGCCAGGGTTGTGGGTTTGATTCCCACGGGGGGCCAGTATGAAAAAATAATAATAATACAAAAAAGAATGTATGCACTCACTAACTGTAAGTTCGCTCTGGATAAGAGCGTCTGCTAAATGACTAAAATGTAAATGTAAATGTAGATCATGTTCCCTCCATCATGGTATGGTCAGTGCCGCAATAGTCTCACAACCACCTAGCCAGAATACAGTAAACTAGTAATACAGTAATAATCATGAGCCGTATCAAGTTGACAATACTGTAGCGTAACTTTGTCTGCCTCACCAGAACAAAACAACGTTTTATATTAAACACAATACTATAGATTACTTTGTATTTTCTAACTCGCTTAAACCATTCTTTACATCTACCATTTTCAACCAATGAAGGGGTTAACTCATACAATAGTTTTAACCCATCTGTCTGTCACAGTTAATGGTCAGTTAACAATCAGTGTATAATCATAGAAAGAAGTCAATTTATATTTAGGGTTGAGGGTTAGGGTTAGGGTTGAGCTGGGATGTGGAAATGAAGCTAGGTTTACGTAAAGGGATGAGGCAAGGTTATGGGTTGAAGTTTGAAGATTTCTGATTTAAAAATGTCACTTTATGTATCACCTCTAATCTGTCACAACAGTAGGGGTCTTTGAACAAATAAAAATGTGTTGAATCTGTCCCATAAAGCATTCACTGCTCTCACCATGCCACAGTATGTGGTGATAATAGTAATCTAATCATTGACATTACATTTCCATTGGATGACTTATCGTGCATATCAAGTACTGTATTGACTTCCTATTCATTGTCATCATAACAAATAATGTCTTAACACATCAGAAAACTAAGGCAACCGATCTTAATGACTCCTGCCTTAATGCGCTGAAGTTACAGATATTAACATGTGCTTATCGCCCTCTAGTGGTGTAACCAGTTAAATACCGATTTCTCTGACAAAGCCCAGATATTCATCACCGTCACAGAGAAGGGAATGGATGAGCGTCATCAGACTGTTTTTATTGCAGCAGATATATCTCCCGCACTGGACACCTTGAATCTGGATCGTCTTCAGCTTGCTCCACATCACTCTTCTCCTTCTTTATCGACCACCAGTGCAGAATCCTGTAACAACCAGGTACACATATGTAATCTTGACTAGGATATCTAGACTTGGATGTCCCCTTCATAATATCTATAATATACACATGACATAATGCATAAATAAAAAAGTTCTGGCATGAGTGCTGAGTCGGGTATGATGGCTATCATATGAGCCTGGATATGTGTCATTTTGGAGGGAGAATCTAATATTTTTTGTTCTATAGGAACTTTAAGTGGCCATATCTTTTCAGGCCCCAAGAAATGAGATATAGTGTCACTGTTGCTGAGCAAACATGAACCTCATTGCTGTTCTGGAAACAAGATATGATAGGATTTGAAGCTGCCTGTCCATATTTGACAGGGATAGCCCTTTCTCTGATTAAGTTACATTCAGATTCAAATAATCTTTATTGGCAGCATGGCAAAAAAGCAATCCAATGCTGTCAAAGGAACATGGCTTTAATAAAGCATGGTATGGTGAATATGCCATGGCTAAGGGGTATTAAGGCACTACCTGCATTAATAACTGTGTATACTATAGCCTATAGAATATAAATGATTGTCTCCATCTGTGAGGGAGGAGGGATACTAACACAGTCAAAGGTATGTCTACAGCTCTGTGTATGTGAGCTGGGACACTGACAAAGAGGGTACAGTTGAAGTCGGAAGTTTACATACACCTTAGCCAAATACATTTAAACTCAGTTTTTCACAATTCCTGACATTTAATCCTAGTAAAAATTCCCTGTCTTAGGTCAGTTAGGATCACCACTTTATTTTAAGAATGTGAAATGTCAGAATAATAGTAGAGAGAATGATTTATTTCAGCTTTTATTTATTTAATCACATTCCCAATGGGTCAGAAGTTTACATACACTCAATTAGTATTTGGTAGCATTGCCTTTAAATTGTTTAACTTGGGTCAAAGGTGTCGGGTAGCCTTCCACAAGCTTCCCACAATAAGTTGGGTGAATTTTGGCCCATTCCTCCTGACAGAGCTGGTGTAACGGAGTCAGGTTAGTAGGCCTCCTTGCTCGCACACACATTTTCAGTTCTGCCCACCAATTTTCTATAGGATTGAGGTCAGGGCTTTGTGATGGCCACTCCAATACCTTGACTTTGTTGTCCTTAAGCCATTTTGTCACAACTTTGGAAGTATGCTTGGGGTCATTGTTCATTTGGAAGACCCATTTGCGACCAAGCTTTAACTTCCTGACTGAGGTCTTGAGATGTTGCTTCAATATATCCACATAATTTTCCTTCCTCTTGATGCCATCTATTTTGTGAAGTGCACCAGTCCCTCCTGCAGCAAAGCACCCCCACAGCATGATGCTGCCACCCCCGTGCTTCACGGTTGGGATGGTGTTCTTCGGCTTGCAAGCCTAACCCATTTTTCCTCCAAACATAACGATGGTCATAATGGCGAAACAGTTCTATTTTTGTTTCATCAGACCAGAGGACATTTCTCCAAAAAGTACGATCTGTTGCAAACCGTAGTCTGGCTTTTTTATGGCGGTTTTGGAGCAGTGGCTTCTTCCTTGCTGAGCGGCCTTTCAGGTTATGTCAACATAGGACTTGTTTTACTGTGGATATAGATACTTTTGTACCTGTTTCCTCCAGCATCTTCACAAGGTCCTTTGCTGTTGTTCTGGGATTGATTTACAATTTTCGCACCAAAGTACGTTCATCTCTAGGAGACAGAACGCGTCTCCTTCCTGAGCGGTATGACGGCTTCGTGGTCCCATGGTGTTTATACTTGCGTACTATTGTTTGTACAGATGAACGTGGGACCTTCAGGCGTTTGGATTTCTTTAGATTTTCCCATGATGTCAAGCAAAGAGGCACTGAGTTTGAAGGTAGGCCTTGAAATATATCCACAGGTACACCTCCAATTGACTCAAATGATGTCAATTAGCCTATCAGAAGCTTCTAAAGCAATGACATAATTTTCTGGAATTTTCCAAGCTGTTTAAAGGCACAGTCACTTAGTGTATGTAAACTTCTGACCCACTGGAATTGTGATACAGTAAATTATAAGTGAAATAATCTGTCTGTAAACAATTGTTGGAAAAATGACTTGTGTCATGCACAAAGTAGATGTCCTAACCGACTTGCCAAAACTATAGTTTGTTACCAAGAAATTTGTGGAGTGGTTGAAAATTTAGTTTTAATGACTTCAACCTAAGTGTTTGTAAACTTCCGACTTCAACTGTATATAGAGTGTATACAAAAGGTGCTATCTAGAACCTAAAAGGGTTCTGCGGCTGTCCCCATAGGACAGGGTTTTCCAAACTCGGACCGAGTTTGGGAAACGCTGCCATAGGAAAACCTTTAGAAAAAATGTTTTGTTTCCAAGTAGAACCCTTTTGGTTCCAGGTAGAACCCTATTGGGTTCCATATAGAACCCTTTCCCCAGTGGGTTCTACATGGAACCCAAAATAGTTCTTGAAAAAGAAAAGGAGAGCCTCACATTCTAGGATCTCAGATGCAATAATTTAATAACAACGTTTCGACAGCCAAGCTGTCTTCATCAGGATTCTACCTGGAACCAAAAAGGGTTATTCTGTGGGAACAGCCAAAGAACCCTTTTGGAACCCTTTTTTCTAAGACAGTACTTTGTGTGTGAGCAGTGAAGGGTATTTCTACAGCTCTGGTCACTTACCCCAGGGAGAGGAAGAGCAGCAGCAGCAGAGAAGTCAGACAGGCTGTGAGGAGAGAGGGAGGGGGGAGACGGAGGAGGGCGAGAGACCATCCACCAGGCACAGGGACAATCCGGCCCCCTGGAAGCAGAGACAGATCAAATATCTCCTGCAGCTCACTGTGGCCTACCACCACCTGGGGTATGACTGGGTCAGAGAGAGGGGGGGGGTGGGGGGGGGGGGGGGGAGAGGGAGATGAAGAGGGAGAGAGAGAGAGATAGAGAGAAGGAGAAGAGAGAGGAGAGAGAGATAGAGAGAGAGAGAGAGAGAGCGAGAGAGAGAGAGAGCGAGAGAGAGAAGAGAGAGAGAGAGAGAGAGAGAGAGAGAGATAGAGAGAGAATTGACAGAGCAGAGAAGTAGCTGTTGACGGGTTGAGAAGCAGGGGGGAATGGAGAGATGGAGGGAGAGATAGAGATGGTGGAGAGAGAGGTCAGAGACTCAGAGCACAGAGAACAGAGAAAAGGAGAGGCGATACATCGACTATAAAGATACATACAAAGATGTGTGGTGAAGCTCTCTGGCACAAAATGGCCACCGTGCTACACATTGATGGTGAATGGAGAGTCACCACCATACAACACACATAAAGGAATATGGGACTTGAATGAACGTCTCTCTACAACACTAGCATTACCTATGAGGTGGTAGTAGAGTCTGACTAAGGAGCGCTGGTCAGAGTAGATCTCACACTGGAATGTACCCTGGTGTCGCAGACCAGCTGAGGGGATAGAGTAGAGCCTGTCTATCCCTACTGTCACCTCCTCAAACTGATCCACCTGCTGGGTCCTGATCTGCAAGTCAGGGGACAACATGACTGCACAATCCTCTGATCTGTTCTCACTACAAAGGAATCATGTCTACAGGTCCCCTGTAGCTCAGTTGGTAGAGCATGGCGCTTGCAACGCCAGGGTTGTGGGTTCGTTTCCCACGGGGGACCAGTATGAAAATGTATGCACTAACTGTAAGTCGCTCTGGATAAGAGCGTCTGCTAAATGACTGAAATGTAAATATAATGTCTAAATGGGAGTTTCAGGAAAAGGGCTGGTTTCATAATTTGACTTAAATAATTCAGCTCATCTTTTTGGGAGAGTTTCTCATCTAAAGACATACTTGGGTCCTGATTGTGAGGAATTGCAGTGGGTACTGTATAGTGATGGACATGCTAGGGGTAGGCCATTATCTCTGGCTTTGGCACTCTAAGGATAGGAGAACTAGCTACCTCCCATAACATCCACTGACCTCCTCTGCAAACCTCCAGACCACTTCCATTTCATAAGGCAGGGGAAAGGGGACGTCACACCTCATCTGTGTCCGGTTGTTCTCCATGACTGTGATGTTCTTTACTGTAGACACACACACACTTCCACCTTGTGGTGAAGCAGTTCTCAGGGGGCAGCAGACAGTGGCAGTCTGAGCCCTCATTTTACATTTGACATTTTAGTCATTTAGCAGACGCTCTTATCCAGAGCGACTTACAGTTAGTGAGTGCATACATTTTTCCTAATGACAATATTTAAATACAGCCTCTAGGGGGGTGCACTGAAAGGGATGATATGCTGAACAGTAATTGTGCAGCACTGGGTGGATATGAATACCATGGTGTGTGGGCGGGGACTGTCACCTTACATAAAGAAGCCAAGGACTTAAAGGGTACCTAGGGAGGCTTTCTGTGCAAAAAGATATTATGTGTGAAAAATAGAACTACAGCCTTGGTTTCGTTTTCAAATCCTCTCTGACTTTACTGCTAAGAACATTTCAAGGATGAACGGCACCAAGTAGATGTTTTCACAAGGGGACAATGCAGTTACGTAACGCATAGCCTACACAGACAGTCCTACACAGACAGTTCTACACAAACAGACCTACACAGACAGTCCTACACAGACAGTCCCTTCACAGGCAGTCCTATACAGACAGTCCTACACAAACAGACCTAGACAGACAGTCATACACAGACAGTCCTACACAGACAGACCTGCACAGACAGTCCTACACAGACAGACCTACACAGACAGTCCTGCACAGACAATCCTACACAGACAGACCTTCACAGACAGTCCTACACAGACAGTCCTACACAGACAGACCAACACAGACAGCCCTGCACAGACAGTCCTACACAGACAGTCCTACACAGACAGACCTGCACAGACAGACCTACACAGACAGACCTACACAGACAGCCCTGCACAGACAGCCCTGCACAGACAGCCCTGCACAGACAGCCCTGCACAGACAGACCTACACAGACAGTCCTACACAGACAGACCTACACAGACAGACCTACACAGACAGACCTACACAGACAGTCCTACACAGACAGTCCTACACAGACAGTCCTACACAGACAGTCCTTCACAGACAGTCCTACACAGACAGTCCTGCACAGACAGTCCTACACAGACAGTCCTGCACAGACAGTCCTACACAGACAGTCCTGCACAGACAGTGTCAAGGCGGGTGTAGAATGAAGTCTTGCTTATCCAGACATTGGGGAGACGAGGGTATTTGAGTTATGAAACAAATCGGTGTGAATGTTCAATAGATTTGATGTGGTGGTGTTTTGTTACTCACCTGGACAGTCAAGTGGGAACTCACAGGAGTCATACTGACAGGTGATACAGTTGTAGACATGACCAGATGCCTGAAAACCTGAGGAACCCATGGGAGGAAATGCAACACATAGCCTATACGTTTCTAGAATAAGGTAGAATAGAAAGGAAATACCATAGGAATTCAATAGGAAATTAAATATATTTAATACTTCATATAACATGTCTTAGTATAACTATTTAACTAACTATTATACTGACAGCATGTGCACAACTAGCTTGCTATCAAAGATGTATTAATATAATAGCTGGAATCTTTCTAACACGTTGACGCCGTAGCGGCCATTGCTGAGGAGAGCTACTAAGAGTTCATGAGGTTCAACAGGAAGGTCATGCCAGGAGGAACAATGGAGGAGGAAACAGTCACTCACCACATGGAGGGAAACATCCAGAAGCTGGGGAAGAAATAGGGGGAAAACAAAAAAATGAGGCAGAGACAACAATTTAAGCAACAACAACAACAAAAACATTTTTACTGATGAACATTGACATGACATGTCTTGACTTGATTGACATGGTTTAGTATAGAACCAAATATATTGTTAGACTGATAAAAGTACTATACAGAGCTATACATAGCCCATACTATACAGAGCCCATACTATACAGAGCCCATACTATACAGAGCCCATACTATACAGAGCCCATACTATACAGAGCCCATACTATACAGAGCCCATACTATACAGAGCCTATACTATACAGAGCCCATACTATACAGAGCCCATACTATACAGAGCCCATACTATACAGAGCCTATACTATACAGAGCCCATACTATACAGAGCCCATACTATACAGAGCCCATACTATAAAGAGCCCATACTATACAGAGCCCATACTATACAGAGCCCATACTATACAGAGCCATACTATACAGACCAATACTATACAGAGCCCATACTATACAGAGCCCATACTATACAGAGCCCATACTATACAGAGCCTATACTATACAAGCCCATACTATACAGAGCCCATACTACGACCAATAAGAGCCCAACTATACAAGACCCATACTATACAAGCCAACTCAGCATACTATAAAGAGCCCATACATACAGAGCCCATACTATACAGAGCCCATACTATACAGAGCCTATACTATAACAGAGCCATCTTATACAGAGCCCATACTATACAGAGCCCATACTATCAAACCCATACTATACAGAGCCCATACTATACAGAGCCCATACTATACAGAGCCTATACTATACAGAGCATACTATACAGAGCCCATACTATAACAGAGCCCTACTATCAAGCCCATACTATACAGAGCCCATACTATACAGAGCCCATACTATACAGAGCCCATACTATACAGAGCCCATACTATAAAGAGCCCATACTATACAGAGCCCATACTATACAGAGCCCATACTATACATAGCCAATACTATAAAGAGCCCATACTATACAGAGCCCATACTATACAGAGCCCATACTATACAGAGCCCATACTATACAGAGCCTATACTATACAGAGCCCATACTATACAGAGCCCATACTATACAGAGCCCATACTATACAGAGCCCATACTATACAAAACCCATACTATACAGAGCCAATACTATAAAGAGCCCATACTATACAGAGCCCATACTATACAGAGCCCATACTATACAGAGCCCATACTATACAGAGCCAATACTATAAAGAGCCCATACTATACAGAGCCCATACTATACAGAGCCCATACTATACAGAGCCCATACTATACAAAACCCATACTATAAAGAGCCCATACTATACAGAGCCCAAACTATACAGAACCCATACTATACAGAGCCCATACTATACAGAGCCCATACTATACAGAGCCAATACTATAAAGAGCCCATACTATACAGAGCCCATACTATACAGAGCCCATCACACAGATGACAGGTTGGGAAAAGGGCAGAATGAAGGTATTACTCTGATGCTACACACCCCATGGCAAGTAATGGAGGCATGGATGTGAAAGAAAGGTTTTGAAATATGGTGTGACGTAGTAGTGAGGGAAAGGAAATACAACGGAGAGGAGGGGATCGTCTCACCTCTAGGCAGTTTGAAGGCAGCCGCAATGAAATTGTCTGCAGCTGTCAGTAACCTCTCGTCATACACTGTGTCTGATGGATAGAGAGGAGGAGGAGAGAAGGAGAGAAAAATATATCTCAATTGCTCCCATGGAAGTGTGCGTGAGTGTGTGTGTGTGTGTGGCCCCCGGCGTTCTACCAGATTCTTTCCCAAATTTCCAACTTTGCTACATTTTTGTCCATTTTTACCAGAGCTGAAATAATCTAATAGTCTGCTGCTACATCCATCTGCCCCCAGTGTAAAACAAGGAAATCAGAATGTATAATGATGCACTAGATGAGCTGCTGGGGCGTGGGGAAGTTTGACAGAGAGTTATACACAGTACATTTACATTTTAGTCATTTAGCAGACACTCTTATCCAGAGCGACTTACAGTTACAGATGTAGGATCTTAATTTGATCACCCTGTTGCAGGGGAACTTCCCTGCAAAGCAGGAAATGTAAAACATGTAGTGTATTTGAGGTTTTAATGCTTCTGAAGTTTACAATTTACACTTTGACATTTCAGACTTGTTTTTACCTTAAGAAAAATGTATCAACCCCTACACAAAGGTTAATTAATTATGATGCACATAATAATTAACAGTTCCTGTTGCTGCAGGAGTATTTTCCTGCTGCAGGGGTGAAAAGGGGATACCTAGTCAGTTGTACAACTGAAATGTGTCTTCTGCATTTAACCCAACCCCTCTGAATCAGAGAGGTGCGGGGGGCTGCCTTAATCAACATCCATGGCGCCCAGGGAACAGTGGGTTAACTGCCTTGCTCAGGAGCAGAACAACAGATTTTGACCTTGTCAGCTCTGGGATTCGATCCAGCAACCTTTTGGTTACTGGCCCAACGTTCCTACCCGCCAGGCCACCTGTACGTAGCAAACTGTCTCAAGTTAAGATCCTACATCTGTAGAGGATTTATCTTAAGGTAGCTATGTAAGACAACCACATCTCACAGTCATACCTAGTCATACATAGTAATGGGTGGTTGTGTGCATCAAATAAAATGTCCATTCCATTCTTGGAAGGCAAAGTATTCTTTCTGATCAAACTTTGAACATTCATGACTGTGTTACAGTATGCATAACACAAAATCCACAGTAATAATCTAACTCTCTCTCCAAAACATTTATTTAATATCGTCTCCCAACACCATTAGAGTGAGGAAAGCACATAAGAGTATTCAGCCATTTTGGAGGGACTATTTTGTTGGGAGTGATGCAGACAGCAGGACTTGTACCATCATTCTTCTTCTTGTCAAATTCCTCCACCATGGGCATGATCTCAGCATTTAGGATCTCCTTCAGCTTCTGATCGTAGCCTTTCCCTGAGAAATACAAAGTTCCAAGTTCTTATCATCTTATTTTATAACCCATCTAGGGAGCCAAATTACTGTGCCTAAGTAAAACAGGATCAGTTTTCTCACCAACTCGCCCTGCCTCAATCACCTTCTGGTTGTTATTGAATATATTCCCTAGTTTTTTAAAGCACGAGTCTACATTTCGAATGTTGTATTGGGTGAGGACGTGTCCCCAACACAGACGTATACTGTCTTCAACCTCCACAAAGCACTGATAGCAGCTAGAAGAGGGGTTGAACAACGTGCTGGCATACAGAACCCACAACCCCCACTTCCACATCTTCAGGATGATGTGCTGTCATGTGGAAAAAGTTGGTTGAGGTTCCAAAACTTACTCAGAATGTTGTGGTGTTGAATATCAATGTATGATGTCATAAAGGATATCACTGAGATACAGATATTCGCATAGAATTCTAATTCAGATTCCATGGCCATTCCATTTGCATGACACACTGAACGAAATACTGTGTCTTTGGTCCCATGGTGCTTTGTGCAGAGCAGATGTTCATCTACACTTGAGGTGTAAGTGTCTTTAAACCACTCCACTTATATCTGACAATGACAGTGTACTACATGTTAAATGCGCTCCCACTTCATGGCTAGGTATAGGAGGAGCACCAAAGCCTTCCCTTTGCCTGTGTTGGTTTCCCCACCTTTCTTCTCCATTCCATTGTCTCTGGTCCCCTCTCTCTGCTACCACAATGCACCAGTTTTACTGCAGAGCAGAGGGATGGAGTGAGAGAGGGAGGGGGGAGGAAGGAAGGGGGAGGGGAAAACTAGGGGGTGGGGGGGGTGAAGAGAGAGTGTAAAATGCTCATGAAAGTGTAACGATACAGAGTGGAAGTTTGTCTATGAGGGAGCCAAAACAAAACTGAAAGGAGAAAGGCTCACTGGTGGTCTGGAGATGGAGAGGGAAGGGGAACAGAAGGGGAAATGAAAGCTAAGAGGGATAAACCCTGCGCAGTGGAGGACACTGAAATCAATGAGATAATGATTGATGGAAAAAAGTGCGAGAGAAAGAGAGAGAGAGATTGAAAAAAAAAGGTTAAAGACATGGAGAGAGAGAAGAAGAGAGATGATGAGACAGCAGAGGAGAGAGAAAGGAGAACAGAGAGAGAGAGACTACCAATCAAGCCCACTGCCTCATCACATCCCATTTCCCCTACCCCTCCCCCACAACCCCCACTCTCCCCATCTCTTTCTCTCGGTGTGTCTCCATGGTAACCAGACAGGGTGCCTAATACACCAAGTTAATATATCTCCAGTGGCATGGTGAGCTGGGTACTAATGCATTCATCTGTCTCCACACAGACAAGCTAATCAATATTGGCTAAGACTGCCAGAGTTAGACAACCAGTCAGGCAGCCTCCCTGGCTTCCCAGCTGGGGAGGGAGGGCCACAAATACATGTGTGTGCCTGTGTGTGTTTGTGTGTATGAGAGAGAGAGAGAGAGAGAGAGAGAGAGAGAGAGAGAGAAGGCAAGTGTGAGAGAAAGCGAGAGAGTGTGTGTGTGTGTGTGTGTCTGTGTGTGTGTAGCAAACAAGGGCACTTTAATAAATTGCCACTTCATGCAGTACAGCTAAATGTTCATTCAGTTCTGTTTATTTACCTTTAAGGATTTAAATCCTCTCCATTAATATCTAGTGTGTGACTGGGAGGTTAGCAGGATAATATTTCTAGATGACTGCATGTTTATACATTACCAAGATGATAGTCCGGGATATGTTAAATGTTTGCTAATGGCTTTGCAGCTGTAGTATCATGCAGTGGAAATAGTGTTTTTAGTGCTTCAGTGCCATAATACCTCAATTACTCTGCAGAAGCTGAGAGAGAGATAGAGACGGGAAATGTAAGCAGCCACATTAACATGAAGTCTTCAATTAGATGATAACATGTTTTACACCTCTGGAGTCTCTCACGTGCAGATCTGCCAGACATAGCTCATAGCATGCTCCTCTTCACATGTTCACACAGACTGTCACACAGTTTCCATTACTCTGTCTTTATTTAGGAATTAAGACACACAATTTATACAGTAAACAAAATACAGTAACAAAATACAGTAACAGTGTATAGATACTTTATTTCACTTGGATCATTAGCTGTCTTCGACGATGATAACTTTGACGGGGTCACCACCCTTGGCTGTCTTCTGATTGGCTCCCATGATGGGTTAGAACACAAAGCCAGCCAATAGGGTGGGCCCCCTGAGGTCACTCCTGCAGTAGGAGAGTACAGACAGAAATCCTCTTCCACAGGTATTTGTTGTTAAGAGGGAATCACACTTCAGACAAGTACATAAGTACTGCAACATTCAGTAGAGACCTGAGGAATGGATGGGGCTGTGTGTACCATTTTCATATACAAAGACATGGGACATCCAACCACTGTGTCAAAGTGGGATTTTGCTTTGTATTCAGATGTGTGGAAGCAACTCTAACTATGATCACTTTAAAAGGAAACACCAGTTTAGACTCTATACATTGCATTCTTTATACTGGAACAGTCAATGGGAAATAGCAAGGAGTTCATTGACGTATAAAAACAGTAAGTCATTTCCCACAGCGACTCTTCTCTTCTTTTGCTCTACAATGACGAACATGAACGCAGCCCTGTTCCCGAGGACCTCACCTGTGACCTACTATGACCTCACAGGTTAAGGGTCTCAGGGACAGAGGGGCATGCTGGGAAAAGTAGTTTTGCAGGCGTTTCACATTAGCAAACGTGGTCTGATGGATGAAACGCCTTTTTATGACAGAAAAAAGAACCGCATCGTTGCACCGACAACACAAAGCTATGACCTCATCTGACATTTGCAATTCTGCGGCAACCGGCCGGCTCCTGTGTGGGTTTGCTGCAGAAACACAGCAAATCTGATAAATATAAAACATGTAATATAATTAATATGCACTCCAAACATTCTGTATAACAACTTGTTAATGTCCATTCTAGAATGCCCTTCTAGCCAATCAGAAACGAGTATTCAACAACGCTGTGGTATAACATACAATATAATACATACCTTCTAGATATATACTGATTGACAGTGTGTATACATACCTAATATATTATTTTAATATGTAATATACTCTCTTAATAACCTCGCCTCTGAATCAGTTCTCTAATAGCTCTTTTGAGACGTTTGCCTCGACGGACCTCCTAGGCAGTCCACTGAGCCATGTCAATCAGAATAAAATAGTCCCAGTCAGTATAATTCCTCTACACTTAAGATACCACTATGTAACACTTGACAATCTCCAGCCTGATTGTGTGGGTCTGCTCTGCTATTTAACAACAGCAGGGGCAACCAGCTACTGGTCAAGAATGGCTAAATCTGCTTTCTAGGACTTAAAGAGCAATCCTCCCTTTTCTCTCTTCTCTCCTACTGGTTGAGCCACTGTCTCCCTGTCTTAACTGACAATTACAGGTAGATGTTGCCTTTGTTAGTCTGACAGTGGTTCAGATGAAGGACAGGAGCTATGTTCTCACTCACCGGGTGAGATGGGGACACAGGACATGATGGTCGTGTAGGGTTAAAGGAGGATGTGGAAGGGTGAAGAGAGAAGCCTTCGGATCCATCTTAGCAAGAAGTCACTGGATGCAATTCTCCAAAATGTCCGACTCTACCTGCGGAGGGAGGGAATGAAATTACGTCATTCTCAGGGACAGTCAAACCCTATGAAATACGAACATGTTACTGTACATACACTTCTCTCAAACATGTTTATTTGTTGAATAACTACTCAAGTACATTGTGTCCAAATATATCCTACTATAGTGCCAAGAGCAAAAGTTCTGTGAGAGAAAATCTGGCAAAGCAGTGCCACCTATTGGTAGACAGTCTGACTGACACACTGACTTACTCTCTTACACAGGTAAATTCTCTTTGTGACAATAATGTCAAATAAAGAGAAAAATACAATCAATGAGTTAAAGAAAGAATCAAGTTTAGGCCGTGTCAGTTTAGGTGTCAGAAATAAATAGATGTTGATGAATGTGAACAATTTGAAACCGGGTGAGTTCAGTCTTTATAGAAAGGAAAGCAGAGACATTTAGAGACATGTATCTCAATTTCACACACCAATGAATTATGTATTTATCTGTGGTTCAAGTTACACGTCCATATTATTAATACACTTCAGTTGGATCTGTAAATATCATTTTTACCGCAATACCACAATCTCAAACTAAATTCTGCTTTTGAACACACATATGGTGTGTACGCAGGTGCAGATATAAGCCATATACTTATAAACTGCACCAAAATGTCTACCAATATAGATTTCCTCTCTCCATCAATTCCTTAAAAAAAAATTGAAGGACTTCCCAATCCCCCTTCTCCTTCTAAATGCATAGTGGAATATCATCAATGTGTGAGAAAGATCATTTGAGACAGAGAAACGCAAAAAAGCAGAGATAGATTGTCTAAATCAATCTGGGAATCTGGAGGAGAAACAAGATGAGCACATACAGTAGCAGCTACACCGACACAGACATGTGGACAATATGTCCCTCTCTCCTCTGATGGTTCAGTTGTTGATTAAACACACACACAGACACAGGCACACATGGAGACACACATACATGCATATACACACACATGCATATACACACAAATACAGTCACAGAGACACAAAAGGACGGTATCTTCCTTTATCCAAAGTTCCAGTGCATGTTGGCGTCAGAGGCACTAAACAAAACACAAAGGTTTCAAAAACACAAAGGTTTCAAAAACACAAAGAATCAAACTTAGCCTTTTTCAACACTCCATCTTCATTCACCATCATTTGAGGCGGCAAATAAAAAAGAAGGCGGCATGCCTGCCTTTCCCCTCCTTTTCTCTCTCTTTGTCCCCCTCTCCCCTCTCTCTTTCTCTGTCTTTGCTCTACGGCGGCTGGGTCTGATGGCTGACTGGCTACTGGGGCCAGACAGAAAGCCCAACGGCAGGTATGTTACAGACAATAGTATTGATTCTATTATCCTGCATGCTCTACTCTCTACCTACCTCCCCCAGCGCCACCAGCACAGTCACCTCAGCCTCTGTCTTCTCCCTCCGTCAATCTGTGTCACCGGAAACACAAACACACACACACACACTCTCACACATGAACTTATATGTTTGCATGCATTGGCACACACAACCCCCCCCCCCCCCCGAAAAAAACACACAAACTGTCTTACACACATGTACACACACACATAAATACACACACACACATGCACACAAAGTCTGTCTTCTCGCTTTCCCCCTCCTTCTTGGTTTCATGGTCTCATTCTCCAGTCTCCTCTCTCTGCTCTGAGCATCCCTCCCACTTTTACATGCCTTGTCCCCATTCTCACTCTCTCTCTCTCTCTCTCTCTCTCTCGCTCTCTCTTACCCTCCATATCCCTCTCGCTTTCTATCTCATGTTTTTCGAATCTCAAGTCTCCACTTACATTTACATTTTTACATTTTAGTCATTTAGCAGACGCTCTTATCCAGAGCGACTTACAGTTAGTGAGTGTATACATTTTCTTAACCGCCCAGTCCCCTCTTTGCAGTCTGTGGGCTCTGTGCTGGTGTGTGTGTGTGTGTGTGTCTGGGAATGAGGAGAAATGTGTGTGTTAGACAGGGGGAGCTTAGAGGGTGTCAGAGAGGCTAGGAAGCAGAGGGAATGGAGGGGGAGGGTCAGAATTTCAAACAGGGTGAGAAGGGAAGGTACACCAAGCCAAAGGAGAGCACATGAACCTGCGATCCTGATATCACCGCTGCCTTCCATGTTTTACATGAATCATCCAGCCATTAATCGCTCTACAGTACAATGACAGAAAAAACACCCAATAAACCGCCCAGATAGGAGGACCAAATCAATAACGGAGTAAAACATGCAAACTACTACAGTAAAAATGTACAGTCTAGTTCAATATGGAATAGCCATTATTCCCATAGAAACTAGCATTAACGGCTGGTAATATTCAAAGGCAGATGCCAGGCTCATGGCAGTCTGCTGGGATATCTGTGTTGCTCTCAGGTCCTCAGAGAGAACATCTTGTTACCTCATTTGTACATATGTGTTTATTGTATAACAGAATCACAGGGCCCCTGAGGGGAATGTGGACCTGAAACAGAATCAAATTTAGCCACTTGGTTGTCTGTTCAGAGAGACGGGGCATAAATGTAACGTTTGATGTGTAAGCATCATGATTGGTCATAAAGTGCTCTAACCTTGTTACACTGTAAAGACTATCACCGATGTGCACAAGTCTTTGAGGGCGTAGGAGTGTCTAAATCATGTGTGTGTGTGTGTGTGTGTCTTTGTGTGTGTGCATGAGTGCTTGCTTCCATATGTGTGTGTGTGTGTGTGTGTGTGTGTGTGTGAGAGACTTTGAGTGCAACCAAGTACATTCTCCCTGGGCAAGAGTTCTCTTTAGCCTATAAACTATGCTCTAATGATAATAGCTGTTTTGTAATCTTGATTTAGCAGCCAGCAGGTGGGGGTTGAGGAGTGGAGGCATATTGACCAGGAAAACAACAGCCATCAACAGACAAAGGAGATCCTATCAGACATCAAAGAGTCCTACATGGGGAGATCATTCATTAGACTGATCCTCTGTATCATTCAACTAGGCTTTTAATACAGATCCTTCACTGGAACCTCTCGTCCATTCTGATATAACATCAGAAAAATACCTTGTTAAGCAGTGAAGTCAATAACAGCTGAATGGAGTATTCCAGAAAACACACCAAAACCAGCACCATCGACACCAACGACACCATCATTACCAGACAAATCCTGCGCAATCTTTTTGAATATAAAGGGAGAACATTCATTTCCAAGCTCACAGCTGTTCGCCTGACAGAGTGAGTGCCAGCATACCTTCCTGTATCTGTTTCTGAGCCTACCACTCCAGGCTGGTAGCTATCTCGGAGACATTTGCACTTAAAAAGCAAGAGCCACTCGTGGTGCTGGGGCTTTGAGACAGAGAGACACAGATGCACACAGATATGCTGTCCTAGACAGGTGCATCTGCCGGCGGCTGTTCTCTGCACTGCATCACTCCACTGTCAGACAGCACAAAGAGTGTTCGAGAAGATGTGACGTCATTGGTCTGAGTCGGTCCATCCCCCCCTCTCAGGTCTGGGCTGTTCTAACTAGCATGTTGCACTGCATATGTTTGGATCAATGTCATACAGTTCACATAGATACCTGTACAGCTGGCTGTGAGCGTGTGTGTGAGTGAGTGAGTGAGTGAGTGAGTGAGTGAGTGAGTGAGTGAGTGAGTGAGTGAGTGAGTGTGTGTGTGTGTGTGTGTTGTGTGTGTGTGTGTGTGTGTGTAGGCTAGCTGCATTATCTACCCAGACTGCCAATGAGCTCTGATCAGCCATGTGGATAACATCCAATCAGTGATATCCAGATCTCCTCTCTGTGCCACAATGATCGAGATACAAGAACAGAGACAAAGAAAGAAATCGCAACTCCCTATCGATCTAAAAAGACAGAGGATACAACAGTTACAGAGACAAGAACACAGAAGGAGAGAGAAGGAGAAAACGCAACCCTTCCCCATCCTCGCTCGACACGTCATGCATTTGACAAAGGTGCATCTGTCTGGGACAGCAGCAGGAGAAAGGCGTTGTGGGTATGATAAAGAGCAGCGCCACGACGGCACCGAATCAGCAGAATTCTGATTGTCCCTTCCAGGAGAGGAGACGAGAGGAGGAGAGGAGCCACAACGCAATGCGGATGGCCTGTTGTCTTAGCTACTAGCCCAGACACACTGGGGGGACGAGAGGAGGCATGGGGGAGGGAGGGGGAGGCGGAGGTTGGGTGAGTTAGTGTGAAGGGGAGGATGCAGCGGGAGGGGAGGAGGGGGGCTTCTGGGAGGGTGGTGAGGGGTTGGCTGTTCGCAAGCAACTGATATATTTCTCTGACTGTGACTGCGAACCTCAGGAAAATGGAACACAAAGAGTACATGTTCTGGTGTGATATTAGAGAGAAGAACACAGCTGAGAAAGCCATTGACATGGATCATGTTACACAGAATGAATGTATGACACCCAGTTACATAGCTAGAATGATTAGTTATTGGGATGTGATATGATATTGTTACCCTGTATGGCAGGCGTTAGTGAATTCTCTATTTCAGAGGGGCGGGCAAATTCTGGGTATCATTGATCAGAACCACAGAGCCAGAGGACACAGCGCACAGGCTGCAGAATAATGACAGTGTGGTAACGACTGAAAACGACCGCTTTAACTAGTTTTAGCCAGTAGACTCCAGTCAAATGGCTGCAGGAGAGAGGGAATGCAGTATAGAGGTGTGTTATCATGTGGAGTATAATACAGTACGATATTGGATCTAAAGGTCTAGTTAAGGACTTTAAGAGGCACCTATAAAGCGAGAGCTCTGTGACAGTATTTTGGCCTTCAAGGAAAGATAGCCCACAGTAAGGGGGCTGTGCAGTGTACAATACATAGTACCACTTACTGACCCAGAGTAGTGATATGTAATAACACAGGGCTGTAAGGCCTTAACTCCATGGTGCCTGGACAGTTCACTGATACTGTACTGTAGCTACTAGACACATGCTATTAAAATGGACTGATGTGAATGATACTAGAGGAAGCTAAAGAGACCAGACAGAAGGCAGCTCTTGCATTCAATTGAATCCAACTCAACTCAACCTTCCGCGACAGAACAAACCACATGGATCACATAATGAAATATTTTTTAGCAAATGTTGTCTTGTGTGTGACCTAAACTAGCCTCTGTGTGTTGTGTCATGTACTCTCGGACGGTCCTATACTTACCACAGTGTTGGCTTGGTGGTGTGACTCCAGGGGTGCTTACTGTAGGTTGTGGTGACACCGCGGGGAAAGCTAGAAGGTTGTACAGTTATCTCCGGCCTGTTTATTATGTGAAACCATACAACCAACTACCTCACACCGCAGCACACTCTGTAGTAGCACTCCCTCTGCCACGTCTTCACCAGCCGGCCAGGTGTCTGTCTGTCTGGTCTGTCTGTCTATGTCTGTCTATGTCTGTCTTGTCTGTCTGTCTGTCTGTCTGTCTATCTGGTCTGTCTGTCTGTCTGTGGGTCTGTTTGTCTGAATGGTCAATATAGAATATGTCTGTTTATAGACATGTCTTTGGTGATGATGATAGCATACAATACATACTAGGGGAGTTTAGACATATCATTTTACAGAAAACACACACACACTGTTATTATAAATGCACAACTGCTACAAACTGTGCACAACTGCTACAACCAAGCACCATGCAATCATTTCTGGGGCACTGTTGCCCTCTTGTGGAGACTGACCTTGCTTTGTCCCCTCTCTCTCTTAGCTCCACTCTAACAAGCATCACGCTAGTCTCACAACACAGTGCTACCTAACCCACTTCACTACAAAGTGGCCCGAAATATCTATTCTGACCCCATAATGGTTTTAAATGCATTATCTCTTACTGTCATTATACACAATGTGGTTGCATATCCTCTTCTGGTATATCTTATGATATAAACACATTCATGAAATGTAATGAAATACCAGTCAAAAATAGCTGTCCTCCTTCTATGTGCTGTTGTCAGAATAGCTTTAGGCAAAATTATAGTTGATGTAGTTATTGAACATTTGATAAAATAAAGCATTTTTTTTTTTCCATGTGGTTACGTCTGCAAATCCAAAGTCACAAATGTATTTGAGACGATGCTTGTCATTGTTCCTCTGTGTTTATCAGGAGCCTCTACCCTGCAGGGTTTTAACCAAATTAGTTGACTCATTTAGCTAAATGGATTTCTGCTGCAAAGGTTGAATGGGAAGCACAGTGACCTGCTCTAAAGTGAATGGGCCTGCAATGACAAAGTCACACTGTGTGTTTGTGCCATAACGGCCTGCTTTCCCACAGTTTGTGAACGGCACTGCCTGTGCAATTAATACTGACGCATATCGTTAGCATTGAGGATATAGGTTCAAATCCCTCCAGGTGCCCAGCTGAAGCCATGAAGTGAAGCTGTGAGATTGTAGCTATGCGACTCTCTCTCTGCCTTTGAAAAGCAGTCTGTCTGTGTTTGTGTGGCGTGTGGAGTTTGGGAAGGCTGCTGCGAGGGATGTCGTCCTGCCAGCCGAAGGTTGTCAGATGACATTAGCAAGAAGGAAACTAATAAAGATCCGTGACCATGTTTTGCCCAAACCTATCTTTCTGCAGACCTTTCTTTGAACTATAGCTAGCTATCCGTGGATGAGGCTGGTGTGTGAACGGCGAGAGCGAGACACACCCAGACACATCTAGCCTCAGAACACTCCCTCAGCCAATCAGATGATGCCAGGGTTACCATGGCCATGCCAGCAGAACCATTAAAACGTTGCCAGGTGGAATGTTTCTCTTCCCCCTCCGTCCTCTTCCTCTTCACACCCCTCCCCCCCTTTTGGACTGTGCTCAAATTCCTAATCCCCCCTTCTCCTTTCCACCATCACCCCCTCTCGTGCCTCTCTCCTGTCCCAAAGTGCTCGCCTCCCTGCCCCTCCCTCTCTCCACTCAGCTGACCTTTTTCTCCTCGCCCGCCCTCGTCACTCCTCCTTTCCCGCCTCTTATCCTTTTTGTCACCCTCTCTCTACATACCCCATCCTGTCTTTCATCCCCCTCCTTCCTCTTCCTCCGCTCGACTCCCCGCCTGCAATCTTTTTCACAGTCAAGTCACGCAGAAATGCAGCGTGGTTGTGCCGTTATCCGCTATCCTGCTCATTCTCTCTCTCTCTCTCGTCGTCTCTCTCTCTCTTTCCTCGGCAGGTCTGTCTGTGTGTCTGGGGGCTTGAGGCAATTCCACCAAGGGAGCTGGCCAACTTTAAGTGTCTGGGCTGTGGCGGGTGTGTGCCCCTAGAAGGTTGTTGTAGTCTACATAGTATTCTGCCTGCAATTGACTCCTAAACCCTCACAGACCTATACCACACTATTACATGCAGTATTCTGTCAGTTTATATCTCTCCATTCAACCCTTCAATTCAAAACCCTCTGATCATCGTAGCTACCCTTCAGTACATCCAGAGGATGTGTGAATGGGAGAGACATTTTGTGGGGAATGCACCAACTAGCGCAGTCGGATGGAGAGACTATGTGAAAAACAGTTGATGAAGTGAAGACTAGGCTATTAGGCAGTGTCTGGTCTGCTGGAAATCAGTCTCTAAAATATGACTCACAGATTGTACTATTTCCTTGACACTTAATGAATGGATACATTACTGGATGAGTGTGGAAATTCAAACATCTGTGTTAGACTTTATACGGTAAATAATTAATTAATTAAAAGTCACTAATGCCACTCCTTAGGGTCTCGAAGTGATTACTGCATAAAAGACCATCAGATGGGACTAATTTAGCTATGTCATTTAAAAGCGCCATGGTAATGCCGTGCCGTGCAGACGGGTAGAGCTCCAATCTGCTGGAATATGCATTGGATTTTCCAGCTGAGAGCAGCATTGCTGTAACACACATTAATCTGCCCAACGCCAACCTTGTAAGTACGCCAACCAAAGTGGCAAAATGAGCGTTGCCATGGGAACCTCTTCCCTGGAAACCCCTGTCGGCTTGGCAATGTGCCAAACCAATGGTTGCTAGGGCACAGCTGTCAATCTCTGCCCGGGCCAGGCTGGTGTGCCAGGCGTGCCCCTAGCCCTTCCCAGTCGGGGTGCATTACATTACCTGATGTGGAAATGGGAATTTTAGACATTTACACAAAGTGTGCTTCAGATGGAGGTTAGTATGGTTTTAGTGTACGAGTGGACAGCCATGGGTAACAGCATTCATACACACTACATTGCACTGTACACTGCAGGGTTAATAACCTTCTGTAGGCTTCTCTACTCAAATGTGGATTTTGAAAATAGCTCCTTTGATATAAATACACTACATTAAAAAATATATGTATTAAAAGTGGGATATTTTTTAATTGCAGGCAGTGTATTGCAAGGTTGAGAAGAAAATAGTAATCCTGCTAGTCATGGCTATTTCTTGTACATGGACTATATACAGCTATGGTAAAAACCATAGAAACCAGGAGTCTCACAAGCACACTGTAGTCACCACAGCACAATGGGCATGAGTCATGCCAGAAACAGGGAGGTGAAGAGCCCTGGTTTTCCATAAAGCAGATGGGATAGTAGAGCTTTTCTATAGAGGCAGCAAGACAGCTGTCTGTCAGACAGAAAACAGAAGATAAAACAGATTGAGAAACAGGATATCTAAAACCATAGACTGATGGGTGTTAGAAGGGTCGATGCCTCCCACACCCAGGGTGCAGGGAGTGAGGGATGGAATGATGGATGAATGAATAGATGGAGGTAGAGAGGAGGAGAGGATATTACCTCATGGCTGTTCTGCTGAGGACCAGGAAGACAGGAGAGGACAGTCAGGTGAAGGGTCAGGTCCCCACACTGAAAACAAGGAAGGACAAGAGCTTAGAGAGAGACGTACTGTAGAGGTGCAGCTGCTGTGGAAAAACACAGTGTTGTTTTCCAGTCATATGATCGATGAGTGAGATATTTCTATATGAATGAGGCAGATATTTCCAGACAATAGATTATAAGTCAACTTCTTTCCAGAGGGGAGGAGATTCATAACATATGAATCATAACAGCTTCAATTTGATCCAAGTGTCAAGAAAATAATTGCACAGCTACTTAACGTAATGCACAAATTCAAATACCGCTGCCAGTGTTTACATTTACATTTTAGTAATTTAGCAGACGGTTACTGGCACAACGCTCTTACCCACTAAGCTACCTGCCGCCCTGGCATGAAAGTATGACATTTTAATCACCGTCAATTCTAACTGCTCAGCTTCAGAAGAGAAATAGACACATGGTTCAGTGCGACACACTATAGTATACATCAGTATTTTGATTGAAATGGAAATATTACATGGGAATTTACCACTGGGAAATAGTTTCCTCTAACTTCCTGAGCTCTGGCAGGCTTTCTATGTCTCAGCATCTTACACGACATGTTAACACAGATTCGGGCCATGGTGGTGATGCGCACCTTTAATAGTCACTGTCAATATTATGACACCAGTATATGTGCTCATAGCAGAGAAAGGTCCAATGCCCTATTTTCTATGGGTCAGATAAAGGTCATTGCTAATGAGGAAAATCAAAAGCAGGCTAACACAGCTGCAATTAAAATGATTAAATTACACAATCAATTATCACCATCTACAGTAAATAAACAGGCAAAATAATTAAATGAACAATTATCTATCTACGCTATACTGTATGATCTGTACAAGGAGATCATTAATACAGCACTATAGATAGAGTGTAAATTAATTAGAATAAATGTCACATGCAGAACTTCACTCAAATCCACATTCAGCATCTAGAGTGCCTGTCTCATTCAGTTCAAGTGCTTTCATTAATGCATTTCTACAATTTAGTCAGGTTGATTTACTTAATAATTGGCTAATTCAGCACAATGCAAAATGGCAATGTTTTGTACAGGCTAAACAGATTTAATTGATCATATGCGCATATTTGAAAGTACCACTAAGTGAATGACATGGGACGTTTTGGTCAAATATATTGGCATAAAAAAACAGACTTTTCATCGTATTTGAAGTATCAGAAATGTAGTGTGTTGAAATATAATCTGTCTCACACTTCCTCTCCCTCTTTGATGTTTCAGGAAAGCATTTTGACACACATCTGCACATATGTCCAATCCCTAATATCAAAATAAGCCTCACTTTACCGTCTAAACAAACACGTGTCCTTCCCCATTCTCAATAATTAGAGGACACAGATCTCAGTGTATAAGCTGAGCCTCCTGCTTCTGCTTGATAAATATAACTTCAAACGGCACAGCAGCCAAACGTTTTCAGCTGGCCGGGCCGGCAGGCTGCACAATGAGTATAATAACCCCCTCCACCCCCTGGGACACACAGCCTAGTTCACTTCTCTCCTCCCTGTGTGTGTGTGTGTGTGTGTGTGTGTGTGTGTGTGTGTGTGTGTGTGTGTGTGTGTGTGTGAGAGAGAGAGAGAGAGAGAGAGAGAGAGAAGAGGGATATGGAGAGTGAACAGAACAAGGTAATGAGAAATAGAAGAAGCTAGATTTGAGAGAGAGAGAGAGAGAGAGAGAGAGGAGCGAGCTTTCATGTCTGTGTGCACATGTGTCTTTGTCTCAGTATCCCTCCCTCTCTCCCCCCTCCACGGCTCTCCATCTCCATGTCTGTGTATACAGCGGATGTATAGAAGAACCTTTTGTACCTCATTTTTAGAGAGGAAATGCGCCCCTCTGCCCCCCTTCTTCGACTCCTCGCCCCTCGCCCCTTGCCTCTTTCCCCCTTCCTTTCGCCCATCGAATGTAATGCCTGATTGACCACAGCACCCCTTCGGAAGGTCAAAGGGCAGACAAAACAGTCTGGTGTCATGGCAACCTGACTGCCACCAACTAGAATGGTTAGGGGATGAGGGGGAGGGGGGGGTCAAAGGAGCTGTCAGTCAAACCTTTTTCAATCCCGCCACAGGTTTACAAAGGTTGAGGCGAAACACACGCGCACGCACTCACGCACGTACACACATACGCATGCATGCAAAGAGGTTTAGAGTGCACCTGCATCCCCGAAACATTATAAAGCTTTATAAATCATTTCCCATTTAACTTATTTAATACAACTGATTTCTGAATTAGGTAGTAATGTATAACTGTAGACTTCGAAGTCTGTAAAATGGTAATTACATAGAGTGTTTTACATAGGAAGGGGACGAGTGCTCACCACACTGCAGAAGTGAACCTTAACCCTCTTCTTATGTAAAATGTATGCATGCATGACTGTAAATCGCTTTGGATTAAAGCGTCTGCTAAATTACATATATTATATTATCTTAAATTATTAATATACAGTCTATTTCTGACTACCGGACTTCCCCTCAGCAATGTGTAGCTGTGCAAACATCTTATATGAATATGCTGCTTTAGTTGGGCTAAAAATACATAATTGTAGATACAAATGCATAATTTTACATACATAAAATGCAATTAACACGATTTTACAAACAAATTGACGTATCTAGTGTGTGCGTGTGTCTATGTGTGCGTGTGTGTCAGAATCTCCTGTGAGAGAGGGTCTTTGTGCCTGGCTGCAGTGGCGGGGGGGGGGGGGGGGGGGGGGGGGGGGGGAGTGTACGGGGGAGTGTAGGGGGGAGTTTAGAGCGATAAATTGGAGGCAAATGCATTCAGATCAATAGTTAGCTGAGAGAGGGTGAGAGTGGGGTTGAGAGAAGTGAGGGAGCGAGAGACAGGGATGGAGGGAGAGTGGAGGAGGGGAATAGAGGGTGGGATGGATGGAGAGTGGAGGAGGAGAATAGAGGGAGGGATGGAGAGAGAGTGGAGGAGGGGAATAGAGGGAGGGATGGAGGTAGAGTGGAGGAGGGGAATAGAGGGAGGGATGGAGGTAGAGTGGAGGAGGGGAATAGATGGAGGGATGGAGGTAGAGTGGAGGAGGGAATAGAGGGCCTGATTAATCATTCCTGTATTGTTATTGACTTTCTGTTAAAGGGTTGACTCAGACCCAGAATTATGTACCTCAGTGTGTGTATGTGTGTATAGTGTGGGTGTGTGTGCACATGTGCACTGTGCACAGAGTCGGAGAGTACAAAACCATCAATTACAGCCTTGAAAAGCAAGGGCCTTACCACATACATAAGCAGTGTGCGGAATTAAGGGGGGGGGGGGGGCTATTCTACCTTGTCTATACATTCCTGTTCTTTGGTGATTTATCCTCCTATAGTATATTAATCTTGAACAGGCCTAGACAATGCAATAAATATCCTAAAAGAAAAAATATATACATTCTAAATAGAGAGGTTAAGACATTACATGTTATATTTGGGGATGGAGGGGGGGATGGGGACAGGAAGTCCCCTGTGAAGGGTTAATGAACAGCACCTGACGAGCCACCAGACACAACAGAGAGAAGAGAGAAGAGGGGGAAGGAGGAAGTAGAGGAGGAGAGGAGAGGAGGGGAAGGGGAAGTGTTGCATTTCCCGGCCTGACATCTGACCCATTGTCTGGGAGGTTTGGGAGGGCACAGATAGACACACTGCAGCTCAGCACGGGTCAGCTCTCGGGGAGGGAGGGCCGGGCCTGCCCCCTACACACACCCCTCCCAAAACTCATCCTCTATAAAATACATGTAATCCCCTTCCTCTGTGGGTAAACACACAGATAGACAACACACACAAATTACACACGCTCCCATACACACAAAAAGCTAAATCTGATTCTCCTCCACTATGTCTGGGACTATGATCTTACAGCAGTTTGGCAGAAGTAAGAGTTGGGTTTTCTCAATCAGATGACCTCACATAAGGTATCAATGTTTGCTGAGCCAAATTTGCAATCAAATCTCTGGGAATAAATCTATTCCCATAGCTATTCCGAAAAAGTAAAATGCTGACCATTTTTGACTTACCTCCAAACACACTTTGCAAATTGAATTATCTGATTGCTTCTTTGAGCCAAGTAGCCATCCAAAACCTACATGGTTAGGCCCTCACGCAATTTTAAATAGTCAAACGTGTAATTGCAATTAATATTGACCTAATTGCTTGTCAATTATGCTATCATAACACAAACTTATGATTTGACCCAACAGCAACATTTCCCCCCAATTAATACCACTGTTAGAAAAAAGCCCACAGCCGGGGGAGGGCAGTTGCACAGACAGAATGAAAAGTGCCATTCAACCTAACCTTGAACTTGAACAATGTGCCTGGTGTTTGTACTGGGGTCATTTCCTGACCTCTCCCTCTCTCTGAGGAACCTCTGAAGCATGAAGCGACCAACCACAGCCTGTCCTTTTATCTCCCAGCCCTGACCCCCACAGACACTCCTATATCCCCCCTGCCACCACAACCAACCGCCCAGACACACTCAGGAGGCTTTACTTCACTATTCACAATCAATTACTACTAGGTTGGTGTGCTTTGTCACAATATTGTACAGAGGGTATCACAACAGTCTTTTAAATTGGGGATTCTGCAGCCATGATGGTGGGAACTGGGAGCTAGAACTCAGAGACGGCCCAGCGGCCATGACAGTCCAGCCAGTCACTATAAGACATGTCTGAGCCGTAGAGATATACACAGCCACACACTGGCATAGTTATTAGGGTAGATCTAGATTAGGGCAGAGAGATATTCATGTAGTTCAGAGAGCTGTGTCTCTCTGAAAACACAGACATCATACACAGAGCACTTGCTGGGACACAGGGGGGGAAATTAGTCTGAGGGTTCTGACATCACCTTGGCTGTTCCTCACCTCCCCACCTCCCTGTCTCTCTAGTTGTTCTCTCCTCTTTACCATAACCTCCCTCCGCTTCTACCCCACTACATTCACATTTTAGTCATTTAGCAGACACTCTTATCCAGAGCGACTTACAGTAGTAAGTGCATACATTTTTATACTTCTTTCATATTGGTCCCCAGCGGGAATCGAAGCCACTATCCTGGCGTTGCAAGCGCCATGCTCTACCAACTGAGCAGCACTACCTCCCTGTGCTTCTGCCAGCATTCTTTCCCTTCCTCTGCTCTTCGACTTCCCTCCTCCCTTCCTCTTCTCCTCCCTTCCTCCCCTCCTCCTTCCCTCCTCTTCTCCTCCCTTCCTCTGCCTCTTCGCCTCCCCTCCTTCTCTCATCGTCTGGCACCAGGGCCTATAGCACTAAAGGGTGTTGCTCTGTAAATACGGCCGGCTAGCGCCACCGATGGTACTGTAGAGCAGAGCCTAGCTGAGCATAAAACGGGTAGACTATGAAGGCTTGTGAGCCATGTCAGTATGGCAGCCAGACAACCAGCCAGCAGGCCTGACTCACAGTCACACCACACCAACGCTATACGCCTCGAGTTATCTGATAGACAGTACTGGCCGCTGACTGTGTATGCCATGTTTTCGGTTGTATATGTTTCTGTGTGTTATCTTAATAATGTTATGTGTTTGCTTCACACCCAGTCTGTCAGACAGTCTTGTGAAGGACTCGAGATAGTTCTGGAATTTTTGCCTCAGCAGGAAAGTATGCTGGCATGTGACGATCAGCAATATGGATATCAATGCTAGTGGGAGCTGAATCAGTGGTGTCTGACCATGATAGTCCAGTGGGACATGTGAGGTAAATGACATGTACGCTAGATGATAAGAACAGGTAGAATCTGGTGACATAGACAATGGCCATTCCTCAGGAACCCAGCTCAATAAATCATAGATGACTAGAAGCACTGAAAGCAGGAGTGAGAGCTGTGCTGCTAGATTTATATAACACACGCATGCGCACCAGCACACACACACACACACACACAGTCTCCTCATCTCGCTTCCCTTTCAACCCACCCCCAACACCTCGGGCCTTAGATGTCTGTGAGAGAGGGAGAAGGATTAGGATCAGAACTAGCGAAGGGAGCAGAGAGAAAGAAAGAAAGTAAGAAAGAAAGAGGGACGGAGGGAGGGAGGGGGAGGAAACATGGTGAGACCGAGAAGGATCAGGAGAGAGAGAGAGAGAGAGAGGAGAGAGAGAGAGAGAGAGAGAGGCGGGCGGGTGGGGGAGGAGAGAGACAGACATGGTGGAGAGGGAGAAGAGAGAGCAGAGAGTTTGCCGAGGTAAGAAGCAAAGCTGTGACCTACTAATGCAGAACTGAGGAATTATCACTGCTGACTCGAAACACATTCCTCCCGCCTGTAAGTTTAACCCCCACACCACCACCACTACCACCGCCTCAATCTACAGTACACACACAGGACAAAACCACTCTATAGAATCTCCACAAAAATGTCAAAACAGTACAGTACCACAAGAATGTAGCCATTCATACACCTATCACATTACTAGGGGTTGTCCACACGAAGAGAGAGACTCTGACTCCGAGAGAAGGTAATATTGTGTCCAAACAATGACAATGGTGTAATTTGAAGTGATATGTGTAATTCAGGGTAAAACACATTTAAGGTATTAGAACATCAATTATTGAACACAATGACATAACTACATCAGAAGAGGTATGAAGAGTTGAAGGTTAAAGAGGTTTTCTAGTTCCATCAAAATGTAATTAATACATTCTGGATACATAATACCTGTCTTTTCATACTTTTTCACCTCTCTGCTTTAAAGTAAGAATGGACTATTAGCTCAACTAAGAACGAATGATTAGTAGGCCTAATTGATTTGGGTACATCAAAAAACGTCAAAATATCAACTTCAATTTCATACTGGGATGGACATATATACCCTGATATACGTAAAGTATATCCCAGCTTATGTCTAAAAGACCTGTTATTAACTAACCCATTAACTAACCTAAACCAACCCAGACCAGATCGTGCTGGAACCCCAACAGACCAGCTGGGTGTGACCCCCCACCCACACCTCTCACTACTTGGGTCTTTCATATGTGCTGATTTCTGTGCGCAAATCGATGTCAAACGCTCCTATACATCAATGTACTCAAATTCAATTTGGGATTAGGTGTTGGTACAATACACAGTATGGACACATCAAATCCAATTGAAGAAAAAAAATGGATTCAATTTTATTGACAAAACCAGGTGTGCTGCCGAGTGCTCTAAAAAATATGAGTTAGTAACTCAATTTATCCACAGCGACAGACACACAGAGACAATGGAGGACTGAAGCACTGTATGAAAACAACACACAAATAATTCAGTATTTACGAAAAAGGCCCCTATTAGCCTACATGAATTAAAAACAGAACTCGCAGCTTGTCTGGTTCCTCCGTGTTTCCGCAGTCTGTGTCCTCGTCAAGCTGAGGCAGACAAATCCTCACACAGACCCTGAGAGTCGGAATGCATCCATGATGGTCACATGTTGCTTCTTTCTATCTATGCCCCAGTCAGTCAGTCAGTTAGTCAGTCCCTCCATAGTGGACCCAGTAGCCTGGTGTACCTTCTGTAGCAGGCTAGTAGCCCACCCCCTCTCAGAGTCAGACAAGTACTAGCTGTATAATTGATAGTGCTGGCTGAGTTATGCTTCATAAAGGGAAGCACATTAGTGGCCTCCTCCACCGCAGCACTGACTCTGAGATGGCTGGGAGAGCCTGAGGAACTGACGTTAAGCTACAGCCGGTTCAAATATTTAACGGCTGGTAACTGTGATCTGTGGCATTCCATCATCACCGGCCAGATATCTAGCAGCACTGACTGACCACTCTATCGTTTATTTCTATTGTCATATCTGAGGTGTGAGCGTGGATCCACGATGTCGTCATAGTGTGATAATGTGCGATTTTGGACTAGCAAACAACCACATTTTAATTTCCAAAAAGTGCTCTCTACTACAGTGTACAATGCCTTTCCATCAACGTGAAAATACAAAACGGCAAATACAGTAAACACTTGTTTTTACACAAACCTTAAACTATAAAGGCTTAGTTTGCTTGTTGAGATGATGGTCTAAACCATATAGGACTAGCAGCTTCAGCGGGCCTGGGGGAAGGACAAGAGAGCACTGTTACGCCGTGCCTTAAGTCCACCTGATAAGACAATAGAGCAGAGATCTCAGTCAGGCCTTTCAGATAGCCAGTCAGCCAGGCCTTCTTTTCTGCCCTTCTACCCACTGTTAACCAAGCCTGCAGGCCCGTAGCGGCGGGGTGTCTGGGCTTGAGCTCCATACTTAAGTCCCCAGCTTAACCTCCATTCAGACACAAAGCCCCTTCGCCATGGCTATCAGGACCACGTCCATCCCTGCCGTCACCCTCCGACAACTCCCAATCGAGGTACCCCCCTCTCCGTCCCAATTTGACACCCTCGCATGGGCGACGTCCGGGGGGTGTCTTTGTGCGCCCGCGCTTAGGCCGAGGTACGGGGGCCCAAGAGCACATAGCAGGTCTCTATGGAGATGGATAGGGTGGCTAAGAGCTGGGATGGAATGAGAATATAACACACACATCCATGTACACACAGCACAGCACACAGCACACAGCACACACTCAGGCCTCTGAGATTAAGTAGGAACGGAGGGATACACCGACTTGTGTAAATCAAACAATGGAAGCGAGGGTGGAAGCCAATAGTGTGGGGACGGACAGAGAAGGCCCACAGAGATTGCTGTAAGTTAGAGTGCCGTATTAGTGGATAAATAGTGAAACACATTCAGAAGAGATGTGTTTACATACAGACTAACAGACAGACGTATTGAGGACACAAACAGACAACAGAGAGGAAGTAGGGGCGAACAGAAGGAGGAACGATTTAGAGAGAGAGCGGCGATGGGGATACCCCAATAATAAACTACATTCACTTCACAATGTCGCCTTTTTACCAGTGAAATATTATGAAAACTCATCAAAATGACTCCAAACTGTGCAGAAAATAAGCATTCAATAATTGCACGAAGCTTACGACAATAAAACACTTACATACCCATACACACGAAGATTAAACAAACCAAAAAACGGAGGAAAATTAGGCCCCCCCTCCCCCTTCTTCCCTTCCTTTCGGCCTCAATACTGGGCCCCAATTTCAGGTCTTACCTTTCCAACATAGTTTCTGTTCGAAACTATGTAAACATTCAATTGGAAAATCCAAGCAAAAGTATCAAAACGTACATTCAAACAAAAGCAATCATTGCATTTCATTTCGGCGAGAGAGACACGTGGAAGGACAGAGGAAAACCTTCCGATGGGAGTGGGAGGAAGGAAAGGGTTCTAAAGTACACAAATGGGCAGACACTTTTTTAAACTAGGAGGAAAGACATGCAACACTGAAAACCCTAGAAGATACGGAAAGAGAAACCCATGACAGATAGATAGGGAAACATAAAGGAAACAAATCATTTCAGAAACACTTAAAAAGAAAGTATGTGAATCACAAAAGGATGAGAAAAATACCAGCAGAGGTCAGATGAGTCTGTACATTTTTTCCCTCCTTTTCCTGCGTTTTCTCCCGATTCCACCTCGATCATCCCTCGATCCTTGTTGCTCTCTTCTTTCTCCCTCTCCTCTCGTCTTGCACCCCAGTCTTCTCTCTAGTCCTCTCCCCTCTCTCTCTCCTATTCTGCCTCCTCATCTCCCCTTCACACAGACACCTTTCTCTTCTTTCTTTCCCCTCTTCCTAGATCATTCTTGGAAGAGAGCAGAAGGTTAAAGAAAGAAAAGGTATTGTGGAAAAGCAGACAGTGGGAAAACAAAGCAGAAAAGGCAGCAGAGTGGCGGCAGGCTGTTGGCAAGAGGTACGCTGCTCCTGGCTCTGTGAATGGGATAGCACACGCTGGATCAGCACAGAACCGGTTTTGTCCGTGCACTAGCTAATGCACAAACACACCGCAGCCAGGGAAAAAAGTATTGGTGGTGTAGCGGCGAGAGCTTGGAGAGAGAGAGAAAAGGAGGGCGAGAGAGAGAGGGAGGGTGAGAGGGCGTCAGTCATCTAGTGTGTGTGAGCAAGCGGGGCAGGAATGGAGGAGAGAGCGAGAGAGGGAGGGACGGAGCAAGAGAAAAGGGGTGGTTCTGAAAGGAATATCTTAGGGGGAGGGTAAGAGGAGTGTATAAGTGGAGAGAGGGGAGGGGATGGACATTTTTTCTCAATTTTTTCCCGTTCACATTTCTTTCTCTCAAATTTCACCCATTTTTGTAAATGACCCTCATGCTCTCTCCCCCGTCCTCAGCTGCTTTGTCAGTAGTTCAGCCTCTCACCTTCCTGTATCTCCTTCCC